AATATAATGTCTGCCTAGCTACCAGATACTATCTCGTGCATCTCTGTCCTTCTTATTGTTCTATAATATATGATCATTTTCCATAACTTCAAATCTTTGCACAGTTTGTTTTTTTTCTGATAAGTACAGAAACCTGATGTTCTTCATCACTCATATTATATCATTCAGCTATCAACCGAAATTTGATCTTGTAAGAACTTCTCCCAAACTCTCCAATAAGGACTTAGTCTTTATCTTTATACTTGACTTAGTATAATAATCATATTAGTGTGTTACTCCTGTATATGTTTGTTTCTATGTTTTTTGCTCAAAAATGTGAGATTTTTGAGAGCAAACATCATACCTTTAAAAAATATTTTTGATACATGATTGACTTTGGTCAAATGTTTGTCAGTTATTTCTTTTTAATTGGCAATGCTGTTTCTATATCAAAAATAAACCAGTGAGTAGTTGTTTTAAAGAGTTTCATTTGGTACAGAATTTCTAATGAATTTTACTAATTTCTGTTTACAGCAGAGTGAGATTAATTAATTAACACCAGAGAGAGAATGTCAGAGCTGATTTCCATACATTCTTTCCTTTAAAAGTCCATATCCACTTAGTCAGGAAGTCTTTTTCCTTTCACCATATCAGTGTATTTCCAGTTTGTCTCTATCATGTAAGCTCCTCATCAGCTCTCAAGAAACAGACTACTAAATTTTTATGAGGGTACATATCATTTTGGAAGCTCCTGCAGTACCTTGGGCGTACATGAGGCCTAATTGATAAACATGCCATTACCTTATCATGACTAAGTTATTATTTTAATTTTTTATTTTATTTATTTATTTTTGAGATGGAGTCTAGCTCTGTCACCTAGGCTGGAATGCAGTGGCATGATCTGGACTCACTGCAACCTCTGCCTCTTGGGTTCAAGCGATTCTTCCGCCTGAGCCTCCCAAGTAGCTGGGATTACAGGTGCATGTCACCGCGCCTAGCTAATTTTTCGTATTTTTAGTAGAGGCAACATTTCACCAGTTAGCCGGGATGGTCTTGATCTCCTGACCTCGTGATCCTCCCACCTGGGCATACGCTATTAAAACTAATGTAATTATAATAAAACAGGACAGTTAAGTAGTATATTAATAGTATATGTGATATATTTTATACATTACTATATTAATAATGTTAAAAAGTTTGAAGTTTTGTTTTACCTATAATGTTTCATTGGTATGTATAGTGAAGACAATTAGTATAGAAACATGGGAAATAAATTATAGTAACAAATTAATTCATGAAGAGCATATAAAATATATAATCTTTTTGTTTTAAATGTATTTGAAAATTTTATTTTCACATTCTTGCCTTATAGAATAATAATAATTTATATGGCCATCAAACATTCTTTATGTGTATTGAAGATACATCTGGAAAGTCATTTGGTGTTTTCTTAATGAATAGCAATGCAATGGGTAAGAATAATTTATTTGATAATATATTTATAGATTTCACTTGAAATGTTTTAAATGCTCTCTTTATTTCAATCATGCATATTGTATGTCAGAGCAAACTCTATTATAGTTAATATTAACGT